TAGTTTCACTTAAACTTCTCTGACTGACTGTCATTTAAGACATTTTTGACTCTTTTAAGAAGTTGGCCGTGTAGCATTAATCTTTGTTTCTACGTCGCAAACCATGAGCGTACTATTTTAAGGTTATATGTGTAGTTTGGCGGCTTCTATAGTGTTTGTGTTATATTCTCGTGTTCGCGTTTCATTCATCTACCTAACGAGGAAGAGAGGAGAGATACCTAATTGGGGCTCGAACCAGACACCTTTCTGCGCTGAGTGGAGCACTTCCACTAATGGGTGGTCTCGGTTCATTGAATCCATAAAATATATGTTGAACAAGAAGAAAAATCCTGAACCAGTTTCTAAAATCATAATATATTTTATTACTTGAAATAAGTTGATTTTAAAACGCGATATTTTCGACTGTGAACGCATGGTAATGAGGCTTTAACGAAGGTATCGCCTGTAAGTCACAAAACGGATAATTTGAAACACGCCATTAGATCTACACATCGCTCTAGTCAAGCCTAGTCAAAATATAAAGTTGGCTATTTCTCAATGAACTAAAAACAAAACTGAAACGGATTGCTTGCTGGTTGGTTGTGCCTAAAGTAGGCCAGGGCAGTGGTCGTATTCGCTTAGAAGCATTTCCTGTGGACAATCGATGGACCGCTTTCGTCGTATTCCTGTTTGCTGATCCACATCTGCTGGAAGGTGGACAGCGACGCCAAAATGGAGCCTCCAATCCAGACCGAGTACTTCCTTTCCGGAGGTGCGATGATCTTGATTTTCATCGTGCTCGGTGCCAGGGCTGTGATTTCCTTTTGCATTCGGTCGGCGATACCAGGGTACATCGTGGAACCACCGGAAAGAACCGTGTTCGCGTACAGGTCCTTACGGATATCGATATCGCACTTCATGATCGAGTTGTATGTCGTCTCATGTACGCCGCAAGATTCCATACCTAAAGTACAAAGCTTCTTTTGGTATCATACACAAAATGTTGATCAATGAGACGATATTAGTGCATTGGCAATTATTACAGAAAAAAATAAATCTTCAGCAGTACTTTGTTGAGTAGTTAAAGGAAAAAAATTATGCAAATAAAAGTGGAAAACGTTATATTTCTTCAGTACTTAAATTAGGAAGATCATTTAAAGGATTTTCGTTCTGAAACAGCCATTAGATGTTTATTTCACAGAAGAAAACTTAATCATGCCTCTTTCAGACTTAGATACATTACAGTGTTGGCTTTTCTAGTTCATCCATTACTCAAAACTGATTAATGTAGCTGGTAAACAAACGTCTTTTTCCTGTACATGTTTTGGTTTCCCAAATTCCATTAACAAACTTTCTCTTCCTCTTCCAATTTGGGAAACCTGGCATTCTTGGTACCACGCTATTGGAATATTGGTTTTTATGAAACTTACGCATTGTCATTCCCTCTCGTGGAGGTAGGAGAAAGGAGTGACTACCTTCACGGGATAAATGAAAAGCAACAAGCTGAACGTTGCCTTACCAAAATGTGACTAAATTCGTGCTGCTTTCAATGTATCAGCATTCATTCTACGGCCAATTAAACCCTTCTCCACTAACTCACGCACTTATTCCTTTGTTTACTCATTCACTTCAGGTCATAAGTGCAACTTCTTTAAACGCATCCCCCCCCGCACAGCCTCTGCCAGTCAGTAGCCTAGATTCTAAGGTGCGACAATATCAGATTTTCATGTAACTGAGAAAGCTGGTCCATAGTCTGTCTCCAAGCAGACCTCGAAGTGCGATTCTCCCCTGCGACATCCTGCCAAACTATTGTTGCCAAATTGTTGGTATTATAGCTGTAATATTACCGATTTTAAGCATGACCTCGCGAATATGATCCACGGACCAAAAATCCAACGTCACAATGCGTGCACCTTGTAAACGTCATCCACCTCTTCTCTAGCTCATCACCTGTCCAGAGGCCCATTGAACTCAATTTCAATCGCCTATTCTCCTTTCGGATCGCGGAAGCAGACGCATCACGCAGTGCTTCAAACTTTTCCCATTTTGTGCCAGAGTCTGAGCTTCTGCAGAAGATGACTTGAGTCTAGAGCAAAGAGTCTTTCGCTGCACTTGCAACAGGTAAATCTTGGTTGTCCTCGGGATTGTCGGTCGGAAAGTTACACAAGCAGGTTTTACTCCTTTCTTAAGGCATTTTCAACACGTGTCAGTGCACCTGTGACTTCTGATTCTGAAGAAAATGGGACTGTTCATGAAGGCTCTATTGGATTTCTGTACGTATGTCGAAATGCGCAAGGTCAGCGACTCGTCTAAGAAAGCCCATTTCAGCAGTTTGTACCCGGGTTCGAAGTTTTTCAGTGATGGTCCACGATTCATGACCGTAGGTAAGTACGGAGATAAGCATCGACTTGAATATTGAGAGCTTAGTTTTCAGACCGAGCTCTGCTTTAGTCACAATGGGTCGAGATTGCTCACGCAGAACCCCACTGGCTACTCCAATTCGCCGGCCGATCTCTTCCTCCAACTTTCCATCACTAGTAAATATAGTTCCGA